GGAGCCCGATGCGGGACTCGATCCCAGGACCCTGGGATCATGACCTGAGCCGAAGGCAGACGCTTAACCGACTGAGCCACCCAGGCGTCCCTGGGAATCAGGACTCTTTAAACCATCTGTAGCCAATGTATGCAGTATTGTAGTGCATAAATATACAGTAACCTGCTGTTATTACCTAAAAAGTGATAGTGTAGCACATATTTTCTGTCTTTTGATACGCAGGGCTTGGAAACCGATATGTAACCAGGTGTTCTTTCCTCAACTACCTTTCCTGTGGTTTTATAGCCACATATCTCCAACTGTAATAACGCTCATTTACAATAGCTGTAAAATATCCATGTACTCCCAGAGACGGTTGTAACTGTTACAATTTATGTTATAATGATAGTTAAAGAGCCAAAGTAACAAGTGATTTCCAGTTCAACTAAATTTGTGGTTTTATTTGTCTGATAGATTAAGTTTACTACTCAAGAACACATTTCTTAATAAAGTCATTACAGTTAACACAAGCAGGGATCACTGTTAAGTGGTACAAAGCAAGCAGAGAAAGACGGCCTAATGTTCTTTCTGTGCTTGTCAATACGTCGACAACCTTGCTTCTCTTTTTCAGAATAAGGTACTCTGAAACTCAGATGCTGTGGAAAAACTATTATCAAAGGTTTGGAAGGTGTGATATTGTGATTTATAAGAACTGTATATTTGGTCTTGGACCCTGTTCCGGGCACAGAGCTCCTGAAACCCTTGGAATCTCCTGTGATAAGAATGATAAAGCTGCCTTTTGTTATGTTAAGGAGGTGACTTTTGGAAGCCTCTCAAGTAACCTAAGAATGGGGGCTGGTTGCCAGGGAAACCAACCACATGATTAGAGGGTTAGAACTTTGAGTACCTCCCTCCAAACCTCTGGAGAAGGGCGGAGTGGCTGGAGGTTGAATCAATTGCCAATGGCCAATGATTGAATCAATCATTCCTAAGTAATGAAACCTCCGTAAAACCCAAAGGACAGGCCAGAGAGCTTCGGGGTTGGTGAACAAGTGGAGACGCTGGGAGAGTGGAGCATCCGGAGAGCACGGAAACTCCGCACCCTTTCCCCATACCCCGCCTTCTGCATCCTTCCATCCGGTTCTTCCCGGGTTATATCCTTTTATAATAAATTGGTAATCTCATAAGCAAAATGTTTCTCAGTTCTGCGAGCTGCTCTAGCAAATTAATCAAACCCAAGAAAAGGGTTGTGGGAACCTCTGATTGATAGCCAGTCCATCAGAGGCACTGGTAACAACTTGGACTTGGTGACTGGCATCTGAAGTAGCGGGCAGGAGGCAGTTTTGTAGGACTGAACCCGTAACCCACGGAATCGGATGCTATTTCTTGGTAAATAGGGTCAGAATTGAACTGAATTGTAGGACAGCCAGCTGGTGTCCCCAGAATTGCTGGTTGCTGTGGGGAACTCCAGCTCCCACATTGGCATTGGGTCCAGGAACCCAAAAGAGAAGGTACTGTAACATTCGGCTCAGAGCTGAAAGGGGGTGAAGGAATAGAAGATGCCACAGAGTCCCCCTGAGTCTCCTGCGGAAACTATGTCTGAGGAGGCTGGGAAGGAGTATGCTTGTCCAGGTGGGCTCTCCCATCCCCATCCTTGAGTGCTTATATGCTCCAGCCATTATGGAGGAATCCAAACTTAAGCTGATTGCTTATGATTGTTGGGGTCATAAGCAAGGTTGGGAAAGCTCCACATTCATACAAACACTAGTTTGCCTGAAAGACAATAATCGCCTTTGACCTAAGTGTGGGCCATCCATCTTTATTTCCACTTGCATGGGGGCAGAATTTGTCACCCCAAAATATGCCTCTTTGGCATAAGGATTATTTTAGGCTGATTATTTTTAGGAAACAGCCACAGGAGAAGCTCTTAAAAAACTGTGAAGTTACCCATTTGCATTTATAAGGGGAATTTCCATTTGTAAAGGTGTCTCTCTGTACCAAAAAGTGGGGAATGACTAAATCTGTAGAAACTTTTAGCAACGGAGAAGGTGAGGATTTAAAATTGCACAACAACCGCATCCTTGTTTATTGTCACTTTCCTAGTAACCTCCCATAACTGACTCCCCACCTCCAGCATCTTTTGTCTTTAGCTGAGGATGTTACTTAAGGTATTGGCTTTAGCTATTTGGGGATCTACTCAGTTTTCCTGGGTCTCTCATGTACATAGGAGGTATACATGTTATTCAACTTATGCTTGTTTTTCTCCTCTTAATCTGTTTTATGTCAGTTTAATTATTACACCAGCCAAAGAACTTAGAAGGGTAGAAAGAAATGGTTTTTCTCCCCAACACACTCTTCCTCCAAACAGTCTGCACCAATTCTTGTGCTGGAAAAGAGGGGGCAAAGAAAGGGGTGAAATTTGGTAATAGCCCCAAGTTAAAAGGGGTCTCTTTGGACAGGTTGCACATTGAACGAGACCTCTGAGTTTGACAACAGCTGTATGTTGGGGTAAGAAACCTGGACTTGGTAAAAATTTTCCATAGGGGAAGAAGTATCTATACTTTAATTCATCCTTTGGTTTTCCTTATATTTTTTTTCAGCTTTGCTAAGGAGAAGTAAGGAGAAGGGCTTGCTTTTTGATCATACTTGGACCAGAAAGGAAAGAAGGAAGTGAGTGCCCTAGGGAGCCATGGGTTGTGTTTCTAGCAGAAATCAAAGTGCTTGGAAAGGGTGGGTACAGGCAGAAGCTCCAAAGAAAAGTGTCCTTTGTCTCCACTCAGAGCCTTTTCTTGCTCCTTCCTAGAATTTGTGTTTTAATTGCTTAAGAGAAAGTCCTTTCAAACCTTCCAATTCAAGACTCATTCAATTAGTAGGATAAAGATATATTAAGTTGCTTGCTGATATTTGACTGTTTTTGGCCTACAAAAGGGGCAATTTGCTATGGTTCAACTGAATATGTTTTATATATCTTATATTATATATGATATAAATATATAATTATATCTAAAAAAGACACATACACAAAATGTATTGAACTCTAAGGAAGTTATGATTATGGCAGTTGGTTTCTTTTTTTTTTAAAGATTTATTTATTTGAGAGAGAGAGAGCATGAGCGGCGGGGGGTGCGAGGGGCAGAGGGGGAGGGAGAAGCAGACTCCCTGCTGAGCAGGGGGCCCGACGTGGGGCTCGATCCCAGGACCCCAGGATCATGACCTGAGCTGAAGGCAGATGCTTAACCGACTAAGCCACCCAGGTGCCCCTAATTTTTTACACTTAAATTTCAAGCCCTCCCATCCTAATTTCAGTTTTATTTTGCTTAAGTAATTTTTTTTTTTTTTTGCAAAGAGACAGTCCTCCATTTCTTTCAATTGAAAGAAAAAGTTATTTTGTTTTCATTTGTACCTCATACTCTTGATGAAATTATCTGCTGAACTGTGAATAGTTTGGTATTCCTATTTTCCCAGAGACTCTACCCCTATAGTATTTATTATTTTTACTTCATTGCTCTTACTACTTTTTCTTTGTCAGAATAATTTAATTCTGTTCTTCCCATGTTTTTTAATGCACTACACCCTAAATTATTTCGCTGTTGGAAATCTGAAGTTTTTTATGTCTGTCAGTGAACAGTTTTCTCTATACAGAATCCATAATTGCCCTTGGCAGCCCGTTCCGGAATTTTAAAAGTTTAGTTCCTCCTGTTTGTCTACTGCAGCAGGGCATCGAATCCCACGTTAGTCTTGTCTTTTCTAAAAGCTCCAATTCCCTGATCCTTTCCTCATGGAAGCTTTTTTTCTACCTCCTCATTAACTGTGGACATTTCAGTGAATATTCAAGATAACTCAAAAATAAGTAAGCAAATATATGTTAATGCCATTTCATGGTGTTGGATGCTCGTCTGTTTTTTTCAGATAAACAGAGATGGTAAAATTTTTACAAACCTTTCCAGGATCCCACTCTTGAGTTTTTGTCTGAAGCTGTAGAAGCTCATAAGTTAATTCCAAATTTTCTAATTCTGGTTTGGGAAATCCAGGTAGAACATTGTGTAACTGGAAACCAAACAGCTCCAACCAACTTCCAATGTCTGTGAGGCACAAAATATAAAAGAAAAAAAAATGATGAAGCCCATACTTTACAAGCTTTGTGGAAAGCTTGAACGATACCTCTCCTGCCCTCAAAATGTTCAGCCAGTGGGAGGTTAGGGATAAAACTCCCCCTTCTATCACCTGCTCTAAAACATAGGATCCTCTCTCTACAGGGATACCTTTTGATTCATGGATAATCACAGAGATAGGTTCAGTTTACAGCACTGAAACTCTTAATGTGGTAATGGTACTGAGGCCACACAGACCGTAATATTAGATTTATTTGATGGAACATAATCCTGAATTTTTCCTTTATGAAATTATTCGTATAAGCTTTTTAAAAAAAGGATGTTATTTATTTGAGAGAGAGCGAGCACAAGCAGGGAAAGAGGGAGGGAGGAAGCAGACTCTCTGCTGAGCAGAGAGCCCCACCTGGGGCTCATTCCCAGGACCTCGAGGTCATGACCTGAGCTGATGGCAGATGCTTAACTGACTGACCCACCCAGGCACCCCTCATATAAGCTTTTAACAGTGAAACCTACAAACAGAAAGCTTAAAAGGAAAGAAAACGTGTCCTGGGATGCAGAAGCATCATGTTTTATGCCCTTTGCACAGTTGTGCTCCCTCTAGAAGTCTAAGGAAGAGAGTGACTGCACAATAACTTGTGGGTTAACTGGCAGGAAGAGGAAGCATATTTACAGAGGCACTGAGATTATGTGATAAACACCATGGAGTTATTGCAAGTTTAGTGTAAAGTTTTATACCTGTGGTATACTTTGAAACATCTTGAATTTTGCCAACTGGGTAGTTATTTTCAAAGGAGTAGAGGTTGAATGGTTTAGGAAGGAGGTTCAACTGTTTCCATATGTGATGATTAGGCGTTGTCCACCTGCCAGCAAAAACATCGTAATCCCTTTGCCCCAGGTGCACTAATTTAGTAAGCAAATCATAGAGTCCTCCATGGAAACCAATGACGACCTGAAAGTCAGGGTAAGTGTCATGATAGATATCTCCATAAGGCGTGTACAATATCTCTTTTATCACCTGACCTCGACTGCTGAACACAGCCAGTGGGGTGCCTATATTATCACAAGCTACATAATATTCTTCACCACTGCTTAGCTCCATGGCAATAAGGTGACCTTGGAGATCATAATACAGGGATGTAATCTCTGAGCTCGTGTGGTTGTACAAATGAGTAACTCTTATGGGGTTGGCCAGGTCCGCATAAAAGAACTGAAGGTGCTGCCCTAGGCTGGACTTACTGGCGACACGTCGCCCAAGCCCATCATAGTAATACTGCACAGTCCAGCCAGCAGCCTTATTGTAGGCTTTCTGCAGCAGACCATTAGAATTATATTCAAATATGTCATTTCCCCTCTGCCTCAGAAAGCCATCTTCATCCATTTTATACTGAATTTCTCCGAGTCTGGTGATGCGGTCTCGGAGGTCATATCGGAGAGGAGTAAGACGAGCACTATTTCCATGGCTTAAGAGGTTGATGTTTCCATTCAGATCATAACTATAACGCCACTGGGTTTTGTCATTTACAGAAACAGTCTGAAGTTGCCCATCGGCATCGTATTCATAGAAGTATCTCGTTATGTTGGCATCTACTCCCACTCTTATATCACATATCACCATACGCCCCATATTATCATATTGAATTGTCATCCAGTAGGCAATAGCCTTTAGGATTTCATATTGGACTTCAATAACTTGTCCGTTGGCACTGAAGATCTTGGTGTGCTTCATCACCGTAGTGGTTATGACCTGATTTAAATCGTAATTAATGACACTGAATTTTCCAAACTGTTCTGTTCTACCGGAAACATCAACATATCGGTACAGATCTATGGGCAAAGGGGTTTCATTGATCACAGCTTGCATGCTGGTAACTCGGAAGTTGTTGTAGCTGTAGTCAAACCGAGCGTTCACCAGCCCCTCTTCGCTGAATCTGAAGATCTGGCGTCCAATAAGAGGTCCTGAGGAATCAAAATAAAAACAATGAGAACAGAGCTAGATGGGTAATGTTGAGCAATCAGAAGGATCTAGGGTCAGGGTCTTTAGTAGTGATGCTTTTACATTCAAAATAAGATATTAGAGATTGACCTCTGATACTTCACGCCTGGGCATATCATCTCATAGATACACACTCTCAGAGCTGTGGTCAGTAAATACGAAAAAATACTGTACGCTATAGTTATAGAGTAATTTAATTACAGGAACTATTTAAGTAACAGCCCATCCAGTGGCTTGGGGTGATGAAACTGATATTATCAACATCCTTTCTTGTTATAATCACTGACAAAAGTACTTTTAATTCGTTTAACCTGTGCTACAAAGTCAGCAGGTCAGTTGTTGACAAAATCCAGCATTAAGGTAACTGACTTCGGGCATTTGATAAGCTAAGCCCAAAGGATGAAATATATTCAAAAGTTCTGACTTTTGAACATATTTTGCCATCCTCTGAGGCTTATAGAGGTTACATGGGGCTTGAGCTCGTTTCAGGGAGGCTCAACTCCTGCAGCTGCATCTCTGGGAAGATCTGGTAATGAGTTAGGAAGGAGCACACAGTTGGATCAGGTTCTCAGAGCTCAGCTTTTCTGAGAGCTGAGACAGAGACAGAGAAATGCACGGTAGGTTTTTAAGGAATCAGCTTTCATGCAGTCTATAACAGGTTTTTAATTTCAATGGAAGATAATTTAATAACCAAAGTGAATGTTTATGGGATTGGATGTCTACAGGTCAATGCTTCTATTTCACACTGTGGCCAGCAAAAATGTTGTAAGAAAATACTGACCGATGTGGATGTACGCACTGCCACCCTTTCACAACAAACCTGTTTGCCTATATCTGATCGTGCAAATGAAGCCGTCGTGCATCAGGTGTATTGTCTTAATGACTCCAGAAGACTCTTCATATGTTAATGTGACCTGAGTGGTATCATAGAGAACTTCAGACAGCCTGGCTTGCTTGGTGTATTTGTATAAAACTCTGCGCCCTGTTCCCAGATGCAGGGTCTGCAGCAGTCGGCCGTCCCGACTGTAGTCTTGGATAAAAGAAGTGCTACTGTCTGGCGGGGTGTAGATGTTCCGGTAGTAGCCCACTGAAAGCATGGTTTGTAGGCTGTGGCGCACCATACTCGGCATGGTGACTGAGAGCAGACAATCCGACTGGTCGTACTCAAAGATGTAGCGCCGCTGGCTATGTAAGAGAAGCATCACAGACTGAAACGAGACAAAGGCAAAAAATAGCATAATACGTACCACTGAAGCTGAGGAGATTAAAGAAACACATTCATCCATTCAGCACAGATTTATCCAGCACTTGCTATGTGCCAGGCACTGATATAGTGCTGGGTGGATATAGTAGTGGGCAGTAATGGTGTCTATGGAGAAGAAAGACAAGCAACCAAGCAATTACAACACCGTGTGCAGTGTGTTATGACAGAGGAAGGACAGGGTGCTTATGGGAGCAGAGCAAGAATAGCTAAGCCAGACTTAAGAGGTCAGGAAAAGCTGCCTGGAGAAAGCAGCATCCAAACTGAGATCTCAAGGATGACTACGGCTTTGGCCAGGTTTGAAGGCAGGGAGGTGGGGGGAGCCGGGGAGGGAGATAGTGCTCCTGACAGAGGGCACAGCATTGAGGGTCTGGATAAGAAAGAGAACATGGCTTTTCAGAGAATGAGAGGAATTTTGTGTGGCCAGAGCATGTGTGTTGGGGGCGGGGTGGTGAATGGCAAGAGATGAGGCCAGTTAAGTAGGCTGGGTCCAGGTCATGCTGGGCTTTCTAAGCCATGCTAAGGAGGCTGAACTTAAACATGCTGGCAATAGGGAACCACTGAAAGCCAAGTTGAAGGACAGGGTCTTGCAGAGCTGGGACAAACAATCAAGTCAGTATTCCAAAAGGGTTACTGTTTGTGGAGTCGCATCCATGTGGAGATGGATTAGAAGGTAAATGGAGGTGAGGGCATGCCACATACTGAGTTACAGTCACCAAAAAGTATTTATTGGCTTCACGTAGTTGTAAAGTCTTCCTCAAAAGTTTGTATATAAAATATTATAATTATTTCTCTGCAATTCGTGTTTTATTTATTTTTTGAGTATAGTTGACATTTTTTTAAGATTTTATTTTTAAGTAATTTCCATACCCAACATGGGGCTCAAACTGACAACCTCGAGATTAAGAGTTGCACGTTCTATCAACTGAGCCAGCCAGGAGCCCCTATAGTTGACATTTTAAAAAAATTTGAGTATAGTTGACAAGCAATTCATGTTTTAAACTATATTAGGGGAACATGCCATTAAAAAGTGAAGAATTCTCTGGATATGCAACCCCTTTCCTCCAAACTGATCTGTATTTCAGAAATAGTTATTTGTTGAGGTATAATGCCTCACATATGATTAGGTATTTCACTGATACTGGTTTACCTTATTTTAACCTCAAACACAAACATAAAAGGAACACTGTTTTACAGGGGACTCAATCCTATTTCTAATTGAAAAGCATTTAAATCTCATCTTTTAATAAAAATAAAAAATGCTCACCCCTGGAGACTCTGATATAACTCTCTAAGGAAGCTTTATCCCTCCCTTCTTGAGAATTACCTTACCAAGCAAAAGGATTTAGTTGAGCTTATTTTCTGAAGTTTGTGTTATGAAAACAATAGGTATCTTTTCATTTTCTAAACATAAATTACATAAATATTTATGAATATGAATTACAGAAGCGTATATAATGTGCACTTCCCTCTTCTAAATATGAAATTATATTCTAGTATTAAATCTATTTCTTGGAACTGCATATCCCCCCGCCTTCTGAGAATTATTGATTCTGAATCGCATGTCAGTACTGTGAAGTCAAAGTCTGCAGTTATTCACTCGTTTGTTCCTCCTTTCTGTTTTTTCCCACCAAGTACCCTGCCTTGCGGATACAAAGCTGCAAGCTGCGTGCGGGAAGCCTGTCACCTCATCATCTGGGGACAACCTGCACCTCCGAAACTGCCACTGAACAGAGGCAGGAGACTTGGCATGAGGACACGAAGGGAGAACCACCTCCTTGACCAAGGCAGAACCAACAGAACCTGGGGGGAGCTGGTGAAAAATGCCTTTGCATTAGCTCTATGCTCAAAGTCAGATTTCTCAGCTCCTTTCCAGTCTCTTCTGTCAGTTTGCCACGAACAAATGACATCTGTCACCTGTGATGCGGGCCAGGGACAATCACCATATGGCTCCCATACATTATCTAGTACCAGCCTGCCTGGGCCATGCCTTTTCCAGTCGCTGTGCGTGCCTTGCCAAACATGTATAGCACATTGCCCTTGTGTTCTCTCCCCTGTCTCATCCATCGCGCCGCAGTAAAAAACCACTGCCCGACTCTGTCCTAGGTGCTGCTGATGCAGTGCGGTCTCAAAAGCTCCCTGGTCTGTTTTAAAGCTTTCTGCCAATGGCAAGGATGTGGATGACGTGATTAGAAAGCTCGTGAATGTAACTGTTGTGTTGCCAGAACGCCATTTAGCTCTCACTTGGCTGCTTTCTCACTTTGGGTGGGCATTGTTACCAGTTTGTTCAAAAATAATGCTTATGAGTCCATCCAGCACCCACAGTGCTGCTACAGCAGGAAAAAGGGCCATTTCTTCTGAGTCCAAACAAAAGAGTTGGAGACTTTGTATTTTTTTTAATGGGTTGTGAGATCCTAAAAGAGATCATTGTAAAGAAGGAAAAAAGAGCAAGCATGTATATTCATTTGAACAAGAATAGAAATGAGCAATGGTGGAAATTTGAAAAGTTAAAGCACTCGAGTAACCACCAGATGGCAGTGTGGGGCCACCTGGAAGCTCAAGGCAACGTGCATTGTATCACTTTAGGCAGGCAGCTTTTGAAAATTTCAGCCCTAAAGAGGCAATTTTGTGTAAATGTATCAGACTAGAGCATCTTATTATATGATTATAAAATATCTTTAAATGCGTTTTTTAAGATGAAGTCCTTGAACGATTTTAGGAAACCGAAAGATTTACATTTACTGTAATACAAAATTTTAGCCCCACAAGTCTTCAAAATATAATTAACTCAGAGAAGTCTCATAAATCAAGATAGAGAATTAATGACCACATAGAGAAAATTTAAGAAACAATAATTGATTTTTTTTAATAGAGAAGAGATCATTTAAGCAACCACAGCTATTACCCAAATAATTATTTTTCTCCTAATGGCTACAGATCATTGTGCATGAAAATGATACACGTAACTTGCACTTGCTCTAGAGGAAGTCACACGATTTCTACAAAATTTCTGCACATTAGGGTGAAATATTTGCTGTTGCTTTTTAATATATCATGGTATAGGGATGGCAAGCAAATTTACAGAGGTATTTTGAAGCATAAAATGAGGTATACATTTTCAAGCTTGAGAATTCTTACTTTAAAATATACTAGAGGAGCCAGTCTCTTTGTCTTTGCTCTGCCCCAGACATAGTGAAAGAATGTGCCAGCAAAGGCCATGTTAAAGAGAGGACTCAAAAGAGCACAGGAAGACACAGAACCTCATCACCTCACTGCAAAAGTTACATGTACATTGGATTTTGGTAAATTCAATATTCCTTCCCTTTTTATTTTCTAGAATCACAATTTCAAAAATGCTTTAATTTTCTTCTTTTCTCCTTTCTTCATTTCCCTTCCTCCTTTCCTTCCTTCTGTTCTTTCTTGTTTTAATTTCCCTTCAAGTAGTAGTAAGTAAGTAGCATTTGTTAGTGACTGGAAAATAAATGCTATAATGCACTATGTAAATGGAACGAAACCAACTTATTTTATGATTAGATGCTCTGGGTGCTTTATATTCAGTTATTTCATTTAATCATCATATCTATTCAGTGATTTAGTTATTATTACTGGTAATTATAACATTAATAAAATCAATCTCATGATAAATGATTTTTGGAAAGTAAAGAATCATTTCATAGTTGTGTGCTTTGCAGGTTCTGAGTTTTGCATAATACGACTGTTTAAGTCAAGGGCTACCCTTATTTTTTATTTTATTTTTTTATGTAGGCTCCACATCCAGTGTGGAGCCCAACATGGAGCTTGAACTCATGACCCTGACTGAGATCAAGACCCAAGCTGAGATCAAGAGTCTGATGCTTAACTGACTGAGCCACCCAGGAGCCCTGGGGTGACTTTGTAATTAGAGGACAAATTAAGTGTGAACTCAAGAAAGGGACAAAAGTCAACTAAAAGGCACAAGTGATTCAGCTTGTCTCACTGGTCAGTAAACTAGTCTCTGGAAGTCCTTAGGGCTTCTCTTGATACATGATACATCAGTCAGGTCTTATTTCTGTCCACTGCAGGCCCTGGCTCATAGACTTCTCCTTGTTTTTAAAGAGATTGTCAACTCAGTTTCTGTAGCAAAGAGAACTTAGGGGAAGTTTCCTTCACATGATTCTTTGCTCAGCTACTTCAGAAAAGAGAAGCAATAAAATTGCTTCATTGGTGTCACAGAAGCTGCATGAAGGGCTAAAATGTAAGTTTTCAATAGGCTCCTTTGCTATTGTATAGGCAGCCTAAAGGAAAAGTCTTAGAGACTCAGATGCAACTGTCTACAGGCAGTTATAGCTCAGCGGCCAAATTGTGGTGCTAATGAATTGGGTTTATGAGTTCAAACCCATGTACACTCCTAGGGAGTGTTGGCTACTTCACTGGCCACATGTATGACCTGTGGAAGGGTCAGGGCAAACCCATCCTCATTCCTTGAAAAACAAATCAGCCTATGATCTAATAATCAGTGGTATCTTTTTTTTATATGAAGGTCATCATTACATGCATTGCCCCTGTAAACATACCACCAAATATTTGGATTCAGGAAATTTTGTACCAAGTTTAGTACTTTGTGAACATGAGCCATAGGATTTTGCAAATCATTCTTATTACCAAAATTCAAGAGGAAAGACCCACTCTATAAGATTCAGATGTTCCTAGTGTAGAGTGTAGATTATAGATTTGACCTATTTCTTCAGCAGACAAAGGGTGGATACAGCAGAGGACTCTCTTCTTTACCCTGGCTCCCAAGTGGAATTCTGCTTTATCTCCTAGGCATTTCCAACTTGGCAAGTTCCCCAGCAACTGCCTCTGGGAAGTAATATTATAGTTTTATAATGACATACAACCACTGGCATACTTTTCCCCCCCAAAACTTTGGGGAGTGTATCAGAAAGGCCTGACATTATTGGGTACAAATAGTGAAATTCTGTCATGTGAGCTATGAGCTTCTATGACTTCTGTAAGAACTTCTAGGGGTTAACTTGCACTGATTACCCTTGAATCCTCAAGGGAAACATTTTTTCAGTATTCCCAGAAATTGATTCAGGACTGATGAATTCGGTTGAATGGACAGATTTGGGAAATAAGAGATGCCATCTTAGGACATCAGAAATTGAGATGGTGGATGGAAATCACTCTCTCTTATTGTTCTCTGCTACTGATCTGGCCAGAAACCATTTTGCCCTGTGGGGGCTCTTTGACAAATGGTTCTGGGGGTGGGATTAAAATCCTTGTCTATTTCCACCAGACGGGAGCCCGGGAGCTCCCATTATGGGTGCTGCTGGAGACTCACTGCACACACAAAGGACTATTACCAATGAGGCCCCACTGCTACCGTTTGCTCAGACTGATTACTTGTGAAAATTAGTCCTCATATGTATACCTACTAAAACTTCACTGATTATCCCAACAAAATTAGAATTCCTTATCCTCTAAGAGGTTCTTCTCCAGAGCTGAGATACATTAACACACAATTTTATAATTTTCGACCTATTTTACCTCAGTATGAGCTTTCATAATAATAAGGATACCTTTTCAAGAGCTTCAACAAATATGCTCAAATGAGGAGAAAGCAAAGCCATTATCCTGACTTCAGTTTGAAAGAGTACCTGGCAGAGCGTGGGGTTGGGGAAAGTTTTTAGCTGAAAAACAGCTTATCCTTATAGATGCATTTGGTTGTTGCTGTTACTTCTACAGGGCCTGACAGCCAGAACAGACTTTTCTCCTGTGGGTCTCCTCACCAAGATCGGTAATTAGGGCCATTTTCAATATTCTCGTGCAGAAACTCAGAACTAGTTTATTCTCCCTACAAACTTACCTTTTCTAAGTAGGTATAGCTCCAAATTTTTCCATCAGCCCAAGTTCTTGAAATTATTTTTCCGCTCTGGTCATATTCCATTTTTTCATTCCACGTCCCTCTTTGAATAAACGTCACCAATCCCGAAGGTGAATATGTGATGTTCACTTCATTATATCGGCTTACGGGAGACCACAGAGTAGGTCGTCCAGTCTGGTCATAAAGAATTCGAAGGGTGAATTTCCGGTGGTCATCGTAGATCTTTCCCGTGCGAGTTATATGATCAAAATCTATGGAGAGCAGGTTTCGGTTATGGGCCTGCAAAACAGATATGAGACCTATTTTAAGCACTGCTTTGGTTCCTCTCATCAAGTGCATTCACAATCATGAAGCCGCCACCTTAAATCCACCCGGAGCTAAAGACAAAAGAAGATGTTGGGGGTGGGGAGGAGGGAAGGCCAGTTATGGGAGGTTTTCAGGCAAAGCATAGTAAACCGGGTATAGTTTTTATGCAGATTTAGATCCTTGCCTTTTCCACTGATGAGAGTTTCCAGAGACTTAGAGCCATCCTCCCTTTTCTGGTACAGAGAGGAAGACACCCTTAGAAATGGAGATTTCCCTTACAAACATAGATGCCTCTTACAAAAGGGTAGCTTCTACTCAGTTTTCGGAGCTTCTGAGTCGGCTGTTTCTTAAAATCAGCCCAGGGGCGCCTGCGTGGCTCAGTCGGCTGAGCGGCCCGCTTTTGGTTTTGGCTCAGGTCCTGATCTTGGGGTCATGATCTCCAGCTGGTGGGATCCAGCTCCTTACGGGGCTCCAGGGGCTGAGCGTGGAGCTTGGTGGGGATTCTCCCTCCCCCTCTGCCCCCCAACTGCGCATGCACATACATGCGGGCACTCTCAGGAAAAAAAAAATCAGCCTAAAATAATCTTTATGTCAAAAAGGCATATTTTACGGTGGCAAATTCTGCTCTCCTTCAAACAAAAAAGGAGACACTTTGAGAAGTGTCAACAGCAGTGGCCCGGGAATCAGGAGCCATTTCATTAGCTGCTTGTCTGTGTACCAGTCATTTCTTCTATCAGAGGCTTAGTTTTCTTAACTGTGAAATGAGAGTGATATTACCAGTTCCTACCACAGAGTTGTGCTAAGAATTAAATAAGATTACATATACAGGTACTGCGAAATGTAAAAATAATATTGGTAATTGTTATTTTAAAAATATAATGATTACTTTTCTCATTTAGGTTAAGCTTTTGAATGGGTCCATGTGTCAGATTCCAAGGTGATTGTAGTTTGGTGTACTAGATCTATATCTGTAGGAATTGTCAACATGATCCAGAACAGAATGTTAAATATCTGGCTAATCTGAGGAAGGGAGAAAAAAACCAACATTAGGGCTTGACTACATTAATCAGAATTGAACTAAACAGATTCACTCACTACTCAACTAAACTTTATGTTCATTTTTAATTTTTGTGGTCAAGGATCCTTTTAAATATCTGAAAGCCACATACTGTGTCCCCAGGAAAATGCACATAAACACATACATGTACATGATAAATAAAATCTCAAGGGGGCTCTGAAACCCAATCGTGAAACCTCTAGGGGTCTCAAGAGTCCAATTTTAAAATCTCAGTTCAGAAAGAGATTTTTAAAAATTTTTTATTGAAACATTTTTATTTTTATTTTTAAAATTGAGATATAATTGACATAGAACATTATATGAGTTTCAAGTGTACAACACAATGATTCAGTATTTGTATATATTGTGGAATGATCACCACAGTAAGTCTAGTTAACATCCATCACCACACATAGTTACAAATTTTTTTCTTGTGATGAGAACTTTTAAGATCTATTCTCTCAGCAACTTTCAAATATACGATACAGTATTATTAACTATAGTCACCATGCTGCCCATTACATCCCCAGGACTTCTTTATTTCATAACTGGAAGTTTACACTTTTGACCACCATCACCCATTTCCCTCCCTGCCCCTTACCCCCAGCCCCAAAACCACCAATCTGTTCTTTGTATCTGAGTTCAGTTTTGTTTTGTTTTTTAGTTCCACATATAAGATCCAAACAGGATTTTTTAATCTTAGTAGCTAGATAACTGTGAAGGAGAGCAGGATATGCCACCCAAAACGTGCCACCTTGTATGCATGTGGATTATTTTGAGCTGAGGTCAATCAAGACCCAGCAGGCTCAAGAAAAACTTTCACCTCTTCCTTAACTACCTAAAAGAATTTAGATAGGGGGCCTGGCTCAGGAAGAGAGCTATTACCCGAGATTACTTTGTATTTGAATGACCTATCTGTATGGCAGAACAAACATCCAATTACCAAACATCTGCTCTTATTCTTGTCCTGTGAATTACCCTCCTCCCCTTTGAAGCCCCAGGCCCCTCTCCCATTCCTTAGTTCAGGATGGTATCTAAGCCTCATATTGCCTTGACTGTCTCTGAGCCTCTTGTGTTTTTGTGGAGCTTCCATAAATACAAAATTAAATTTCTTTTTCTCTCATTAATCTGTCTCATGTAAATTTTATTAGACCAACCAAAGAACCTAGAAAGGAAGAACCTAGAAAACCCACATTCTCATTTCAAAGTCCAGTCTTCCCTTGCTCACTTTGGTTTTCAAAATAGTTTCCACTCTCCATCATAAAAGTGATGTTTTTTCGTTGCAGAAAAATTGGAAAATAAAGAAATACAAAAAGAAAATAATTACCTGTAATCTCACCCTCCAATGCTAATCACTGCTAATATTTGGCTGCATTCCATTTATCTCTCTTTTATGCATAATCTGTTTATACATTCAAAAAATACAACTAGGATTGTACTTAAAAGTCCTGTGTCCTACTTTTAGCTAATGTTTTATCTTGAGCATTCCTTGTATTATTATATATTCTTAATATGTGAATTTTAATGGTTGCATAGTATCTTCTTACATGATAATTATTTATCCTTTCTCCTATTGTTGGAAGTTAGAGTTTTTATTTTCCATTATTCTTTCATATTTCATATTTTGCTGAACATTTTTGTAAATGAATATTTCCTTAATACAGAACTGAAGAAGTGAAATTACCAGGTGAAGTGATAAGAATATATCAAAGACTCCTGATGTGACATGAGTCATTACTTTATAGTGCATGAAGCTTCTACAAATTTATACTTCCTTTAAGTAGTAGTGGGGGAGCCCATCTTATTCCATCCTTACCAGCATCAAGTAAGTGTTAGCATTGTTAGTAAGTTTTTCTCTATATCAGAGTGGGAAAATGGTATGTTATTGTAGTTTAAATTTGCATTTATTTGATAACTAGTGAGGCTGAAACTTTTTTAATGTCTATTGGCGACATGTATGTCTTCTATGAATTGTCTACTCATGAGGTTTTTTTTTTTTTTTCATTTTTCTATTGGGGTATGGCACTTTGCTTTAAAAAAATCTCTTTTGGTTCAGTTTCTTCATCAGCCAGCTGGGGCTAATAATATTTGCCCTTAATTTTGAGCTTCTGAAAAAAAAAAAAAAGGACCTATCAAATGTTCCATGACATGAAATCTATCCAGAAGACTAGAGATTAGATACTTAAATTATTTGAAAGGAAATGCTGTTAGTCTCAGGGGTAGGTTTAATTTGGGAAAAGAGACACACACAGATTGGGAATCAGGACTCTTTTTTTTTTTTTTTTT